AGAAAGTGTTAATGGAAGGGTTTCAAGCCATAAGCAGGACTCCAAATCTTTCTTCAAATTATCCTCACTGGGTTTCTTGACTGGAAAACAGAGGAGTTGCCTTCTGGATGAGCCCTAGCCCAGGAATGCAACCAAGTCCTCATATCACAATTGCCATCTTGATCACAGAGGTGGTCACAAAGAACTAATCAAATTGTCAAAAGTTACCAGCTCCAACTTGCATCTTGATTTCAAAGGAGTTAAAATGTGGAAAGTGGTCAGTCTTAGAGTGTCTTAAATGTGGTAGTCCCACTGCAAGCTTTCACCAAGGTTCCATTTAAAGTTTCTGATCATGAGTTTAAAGTGGAACCAGCTGTCCTGATGTGTGTTCCTCTGCCCTCCAATTCAGCTTCCTGGGTAAGAGTAAAGAGATTATCCAGCACTAATATTTCACCAGGAGACAACAGCTGCAAGGAGAGGGGCAAGGCACCTGAAGGATATGCAGGAGGAAACCATCATGTGATGGAACTGAAACTGGCTAAGGAGGGAAGTGAGGGCATGTGACATGTCATGAACTGATTTCTCTTTGCATGTGGCATCCTTGCATTTCTTGCATACATTTATTTAGTTATTTGTCAACCATTTATTACTTCTATTTAATGCTTGTGCCACACAGCACTGGAAGCACTGAGGATATGATATGGAGCAAGACCGAAAAGTTCCCTTGGGTCATTGAATTATATATGAGGTGTGGGGAGAAATCAATCTTTCATAAACAACAAATAACAAACATATAAATAAGAACAAATAATGCTCAGAGAATGAAAATGGGGTGACGTAAAAAAGGATTAATTGGGCAAATATATATATAAAGTGGTCAAGAAGTGCCTCTGTGATACAGTGGTGTTTACACTGAGATCTGAATGTCAAGAAAGACCCAGCAGAGGGAAAGGTCATATGTAAAATCTCTAATATTGAGATTTGTCATAGTACAGAAAGGGGATGCGGCTGGAGCATGGTAGCTGAGGTGTAAAAGTACGCAGTGGGGTGGTGAGATGAGAGAGGTAAATGGATACCACATCATAAAAGAGATTTCTAAGCCAAAAGAAAGTGTTTGGAATTTTTTGTTTTGTTTTGGTTTTTGAGTGTACAAGTTGTACTATGGTCTGGTTGTGTTCATACATGCTTGATCTAGAAGCTGTGGGGTGAATCATAGAACAGGTAACAGTGAAAGCAGGAAGCCAGACTAGGAAGTTATTGCAGTAGGATGCATGAGAAATCATAGTGGTTTGGTGATGGAGATTGAGGAAAAATATATTTAAGATAAGTATTTAGTTCTTTGCACTTTGATGGTAGTCAAGATCCCTGCAAATGTTCACATATGATAGAATAGAGAAAAATCCTTCGGGGAGATGGGGGACTACTGGACCCCAAATTTGAATATCACTCTGTATGATATTTACACACACACACCCCATCTTTAGCTATGAGTACCAAAGGGAATGTTAGGCATGTCCATTTATGACAAATGGTTCCATTCCATCAAAAGCTTACTGAGGTGGTTGCAGTGACATACACCTGTAATCCCAGCTACTCAGGAGGCTGAGACACAGGAGCATCACAAGTTCAAGGACAAGGTGGGCAACTTAGTGAGACCCTGACTCAAAGTAAAAAAAAAAAAAAAAAGGCTGGGGATTTGGATCAGTGATTGAGCATCCCATGGGTTCAAACCTCAGGACCCTAACTGCAACACCAAAAAGCTTATTGAACTACCAGTGGGGGAAATTGCTTACTTAATTGGAAGGATAGAACAAAAGAGGGAGAGAGGAAAAGAGGGAGGAAGGAAAAGAGAAAGGAAGGAAGTATTTCTATAGATGGAACTTTTTAGGGATACAGGGAATATATAGTTCAGTTTTCATTTGGTAATTGGAGACTTGTATTTTTAACATTCAGCATGTCCTTCTCACAGGAACATTTGAAAAAGGTAGCATTTCTATTTCTTGGGGAAATGATTAGGCATGCACTTGTCCCAATTTTCTCTGCCTGCATGTGGTGGCGAGCAAACCCATCTCTTCTGTGCTCTGTAAACCATGCAGGTATTAAAGCTCAGGAGAATGACAGTCCTGCCTTTGGGATCATGGGGTTTCACCATCCATATTAACTTTTAAGATGAGGGATAGCATCTGTCTTTTCAAAAGATGGGAAAAGGAAAAAGACCCCCAAAGATATGAGGGGCACCAAGAAGCTGTCGATAATATAAATAATGGCTGTGTCTTGGCCTGGAATGATATTGTAGAAAAGCCTTTGAAATAACAAACTGAAAGGAAGAAGAAAAAAAAAAACAGCTTAAATTGAAAACTACAAGTATGTTCTAAGGAATAAAAGCATGAACCAGTTTAGTGGAGTCTAGCCGAAGAAGTCTGGGTTAGGGAATATGCTTTCAAGCATTTTCCTGTGGGACAGACAATTTAGGAAAGCTGGCCCCGAAATCCAGCTGCATCATTTTGAGGAACATTCTGGGAAGAAAGATAGAGGTATTTGAACCCTGGGACGAATCTTTACATAATTTAAACGTGCTGTGGACAGCCACACCTGTGCAATGACTGCTTGTGACTCCACTTTTTTTACTGATTAGAATTAACTCCATCCTCAGCAGGATGTGGTTAGCATGCAGACGATTTCCATGCCTTTAGAATGGTTTGGAAAATTCCTCCATGTTGGCCTCACTCACAACTTAACAAAAAGGGTAATACAGCTTTATAAAAAAGTACCGAATTGGAAAAACAATACCCCCCAACTCAGATATTTCACATTTACCTATAGGATTCTACAGAATGAATGGTGGCAGGTTATCATGACATTCGCTGGACAGGATATATTTTGATGGTGTAAGTTGGACTACAAGTTAATCATTAAGAAAATTATAATTCTGGTGAATTGACTAAAAGTCTCCATGCATGAAATTTGTTTCAGAAACTTAAAGCCTGTCAGACTACCCACTGAAACAGTGACCAGACTCGTGATATTTCACCTAATGCTAAATCATGTGCCTCTCTGTGAAATATGGCCTTCATTTATTTTACGGTCGTTGGCGCCAAATAACAAAAACATGAGCCGAGAAATGTTATTGGAACATGCTGTGATGAGATTCAAGCAGGCAGGATTGAGAAGTGTTTTAGAACAAAATTAAAATGGCACCAGTGGAGGCAGATCTATGCTGGAAAATTGAAACAGAAAATTCTTTCTTCACAATGCTCCATGTTGTGGGAGAGAAGCTGGAGGAAGGGCTGTCCCAGAATCTCACAAATGGGCAAGTTTTTTAATATTAGTATCTTCAGAAAACACAAGTACCACTTTCAACTAGTTCACGATGACCAATATCCTTTGCTTGAGCAAACTAGGTTCCTCAAGGTTCTCCTAGGATCATGGGTGTACGTCCTCGTAAAATCCAGTTTCAGCAAAAATCCTGCCAAGTCAGATTAAGAAGAACGTTCCACCCCCAAGGTCTGAGACACCTGATCCTCTTCAAAATCTGACTGTTTGATTATTAAGAATTATATAAATCAATTGTTAAACACAGTCATTTAAAAGTAAATTATATAAATTTGCAACTAGATAAATTATATTAAAAATAAATCCCCAAGACATACCACTTCCTGAGTAATTGACTACATTCTGCTATTGTTGAAATTGGCTATGGTGGGAGTAGCTGTATCACTACTAGCTTCAACAGCTAGAAACTAACAGACACGACAATTAGGATTAACTTCAGTAAATGCTACACTCAGCATTGGATTTATTGTCTTGTTGATTTTCTAGATGTTTTAAAGTGATGGAGAAAATAGGAGTAATGCACACTTAACATGCATGTCATTCTACAGTTGTCACATTGTTAACAGCACAAAAAGATGAGGAAATATTTCTTCAGCATTCAAAACCTTTATCTAAGCCAACAAAAAAAAAGTGTATCATGTCATTGATGAACAAATTTCTGATATGCATCTTCATTGTTTTACTTTCATCTTTTATTTTTGAACCTAGAGAAAAATCACAGCCAGTATTCATGTTGGAACCACCCTTGTTCATCAATTACAACCTCAGCATATCTACAGATAAGAGAATTCAACAAAAATTAACAAAACCATTCTATACTAATCAATTGGCTTTATAGAATTTACCATGAAGAATATTGTTTTATGTTATTATTACTTATAAACTGTGTGCTATACATCCTTAATATCAGTAAGACGTATAATATGCTTATTAGTGTGTGTTATAGGAGAATAGTTGTTGAACACTTACCAAAAACTCACCAAGAATACAGCAAATATTACCAAAAATAAAATTCCCAAAGACACAGAAGATTACCCATGAAATTGTCAAATTTCCATAATTAAAATATGCAAGCATAGATGTAAGTCTAGGACAAAAGAAACCTAAAAATGGAAGAATTAACACAAGCTGGTCAAAGTCAATAGAAAACTGACCAATGTTCTCTATTTTTTGAGAATACCTATAGAATTTGTTTTTATTTTTCTCTCTTCACAGAAGTAACTGAAACAACTAATATTTACAAGGCAATTACTATACATCAGATGCTATATCAAACATTTTGGATGGAACATCAATTTAATGGCCTCCATAACCCAATAAATTATTATGATCATCCCTATTTTATTCAGAGGGAAAAATCAAGAATCTGTATGATCCAAAGCCACTTGTATAAAGACACAAGCTACTAAGTCTCTCTTATTGCCCAGGCTTTTAAACTCTACACTGGTCACTTAGAGGAAAAAGAGGAAGTGCTTATCATTTCTACTAAGAAACAACAAAAAGGCTTCCAGAATTGTAATGTTCCTTTCCAGCCCTGTCCAGTGCCGTTGACTTTTAATAAGCTCTTCCTATGTTGCCTCACTTAGTCTTTCACATGGATGTGTCAAGTTTTCTACTTTTTTTTTCTTGTGATTGTGAATTTTATTTTATTTGTTATTAATTAATTATTTAATTTAACTAGGTATGCTCTCTCTGATAAGTGGAGGGACAGGAAGAGGACATAAGGGCAGGAAAGATGGTGGAATGGGATGGACATCATTACCCTGGATTCATGTGTGACTGCACACATGGTGCAACGCTACATCCTGTACAACCAGAGAAGTTTTCTACGTTTTGACGCTACTTACTTTCAGGTGCCCTTTTTCTAAATACCCTGCTCTCACAAACCCTGATCCCAAATTCAGCCAATCCATTAGGGTTCAATTTGAATGGGATCTCCTCTCTAGAGTTCTAGATTTTCCAAGTTGGTTTGTAATCCTGTGCTCATTTTAATCATCTTACTGGTGTCTCTTTTTGCAGCATTTAACCACTTCCTACCTTGGAATAGGCAGCTTTTCCCAAGATATACCTGGAAGAATCCACCAGTTGTTCTACCACCTCAAATACGATTAGCATATCAAGGACTTTGAAAAGTGCTACAATAAAGAAACAGTTTTAATGTCATTCCCCCCCCAGTGTTTTCCCCATTTATTTTACTATGGGGCTGATTTTTCCCCCAAATAATCATTAATACTACTTGACTCTAGTACTACAAAGTTAACACAATTTAATAGCTACTAAATATATTACTAATATATTACTACTAATGCAAATATATACACAACTACTATCTATTACTATTTATATATAATAGCAATATATTAGTGGCACTATATTAGTAATAATATTTTATAGCTAATATAATTACTACTTATATATAACTATTACATATAGTAGTTATATAAGTTTGTAATTACTATATATATATAATATATATACACATATATACATATACACAGATTTTTATAACTACTAGAGGCAGAGACTTGAATGTAGGGACACAAGGCTAGATTATGTTTATCTTTGTATCACTCGATGAGTCTTTCCATTGCTTTGCATTTGGGAACTTTGCATATGAGAAAATTTGGTTGAATGGACAATCTTTATACTTGAGTAAAGAGAACAGACAGAAGTTAGGTTCTAATGCACAAAACTTGCTTTTAGAAGCCCTCACAAGTACACAAGGGGTAGCATCTCAACATTAGGCCAAAAAGCAGTCTAAGCAACAACTGAAAAAGGCTATCCCAAGGCAAATGGCTGATTTCTCTTCGTTTTACTGCTCAAATAGGAGAAAACAAAAGAACACTTTTAGGAAATATCAATGTGGCCTATCATTACCCCAAAAGCTCTCCCCTACAGGATTGCCAGAAGCCTAGCCATTTTATCTTACAAACCCTTTCTCAGACCAGAGACGGAGGGCCTCAGGAGACAATGAGAGACTTCTGGAAAAAAGAAAAAGTATTTAGAAAAGGCCACCACAAGGTGGACTGACTTATCTCGTATCACAGGTTTACCAAATGTGCATGTGGGTGTGTGTATTTGTGGGTGTGTGTATTTGTGTGTAGCTGTGTGTAAAAGAATTTTCTCCTTTTGAAAGCTACTCTTGTAGCTGTTGACAAACAGGAAAACCTCAAAAAGTTAAAATAAATTTATTTTTAACAGCATAATTATTTTCTTTTTACCTTGACCAAGAGCTGCCATGAGAAAAACTGGTGGAAAAGTTTGAAAACTGCAGACACAGTGAACCCAAGTTCTGCACAATCCCGCATAACGATGCAAAGATGAATCTTGATTACCAATTACACACTGCCTGCTGGGCTCCTTGAAAAAAAATGATCAAATCTGTTACCTTCTAAAAGCAAGTCACTGGGGCATGCTCCTCCCCTGCCCACCCACCTGGGGCTGCCTACCTCCTGTCTAGTGTCAAAACACAATCTTCCCCACCGTGATTTATGGTTTAGAAAGGAGAGGATTGCTGGATGAGTTGCATACACAGGCAGAAGGGAACTTAGACACACCAACAAGAGAGGAAAACAGGAGGATGGAGTGAACAGGGAAAAAATGGAACATCTATTAAATAATTCAGGACAATTGCCCAAAGGAGAACAGATGCGGAATGGGAATGGAGAAAATACATGGATCAAGGTATATTAACAGAAGGAAAAAATAGAATGGGAAGAAGGAGTAGATGAAAGAGTTCACCCAAGGGAGAAAAGCAAGAAGGCATCACTAATCCTGGCAGGAATATTAATGACTAGATGTGGAATTGAAAAGGAGCAGCTCATAATTTCCTGACATCCTATGAAGAAGCCTTGAGCAGTGGCTCCTTATGATTTGCACAACTTTGTGATACCTTTGGAAAGCTGATTTCCCAGGCCTAAATGGAGGCTCTTTGGAGGAGGTAAGCCATGTACTTTAATGAGACAAACAGGAAGTTTGCAGGCAGGGATAGAAAGGAAGGAATTTTAGACTTTGTGTAGATTTCAGATAGCACCCATTCTGAAGTTACAACAGGGCCTGAGGAGGTTGAGCCTGCTACAGCTGAAGGCTGTAACCCACCCAGAGTTGAGTCAGCATGATTTATCCCATGTTGTGAAGGTCATTCCACATCCAAAAAGAATTCAGCTAGGGGGGGGTTTATTTTCCTTGAGTAATGAAAGCAATCAGTATGAGATAGTCAATGAGAACACACACCAAACTTGACCCTGGGGAATCTGTACAGGAAAGAAGTGCTGTGGCTATTCTGAAAATGGGTAGTTAGAAGAGAAATGAATTATTCAGCAGATATTTATTGAGCACCTGCTATGTGCTGGTCTCTATCCCCTTCACAGGGAGTAAAGCAAAAAATCTGGAGTGGAGCCTGTGATCTAAATTTCAGCAAACACCCAACTGATCCTGCAATGACAATCTTCTGGACATTTTTACAGAAGCAATATTCTAGAGCAGATTCTTAAACTTTTTTTTTCAATTATCATCACCCAAATGGGCCTTTCCAGGCATTTTTTTTTTCTAATTGCACCTCTCTATGAGGCCACATGTACACTGAATATCTGCTTATGTAATGTGGCCCTTTGAAACAGCATAACCATTTTAATGTCTATATTCTTTGTTTTTTTATTTTGTTTTTGTCTTCCAAGAATCAGTAGTTATCCTCTTGGGATAATATTTTACCTCCATTGAGATATCACTCATGTTTTGGGGGTTCAATGATAGGAAACCCCCATAAACAGCTCAGTTGTGTTCAACACATATTCACTAGGTGCAAATGTGTTGGACACTGTGCTAAACCCTGATGCCACTCAGTGCATAAATGAGTATTAGTACATCATCCCCATCTGGCACTCACTGGGAGACAGAGGTCATAAATAGACAATTCCACTAAAATACAGCACATTAATAAATAAATATGGTTTAGTACAGGATGCCTCCTTCCATGAAGGAGAGTTATCATCCCAGCTGGAGGTTGAAGGAACACATCCAAGAGAGGGAAGATGCATTGATTCATTAGGCTGAGAAAAGTTAATGAAAGAGAAGAGCTGTGCCGTGGTTCCCAAAGATTGGCCCCAGGACTAGCAAAGTTAGTATTTTCTTGAAACTCGTTAGAAATACAAATTCAAATACAAATGCCTTACCCCAGAACGAATGAATCAGAAACCCTGGAGGTAGAGGTCAGTAGTCTGTGCTTAACAAGCCTTCCAAACTATTGTGAAATACAATGCATGAATTAGTTTATTTGACCAGGTAGAGCCTCAGTTTACCTACTTATGAAATGACACGAATACTTACCAGTGAACTACCCACAAATTAAAACAGGTACTTATATCAGTCTGAAGATCCTTACAGAATGACAGAATGGCACATTCATAATAAAAATAATTCATCCCAAAGCATATGTGTGTAGGATTGACCAAGCCCATTCCTGAGGCCAGGGTCAGCCATCCACACTGCCTAGTAGAATAGGGGTTCCAGAGGCACACATCATGCTCATTACAAAAGTGTTATAGCACCTGTAATTATTTTAACTCTCTGGTCTATAGGTGTATCTGTAGATGTGGATATGAATATAGATATATAGATATAGATAGATCCTCTTCACTAGACTGTGAGTCCCTCAACAGCAGAGAATATATCATCCAAATTTATTTTTCTATATTCAGCACCCAGTAGGTTCCCAATTCATGTTTGAATAAAAATCACATAATTTTTTTTTAAAAAAAGTCTCTGAATTGTCTTGACACATCAGAAAAAAAAGAGAAGAGAGCAGACAATGAGACAGCACCTCCACTTGCCATGCACCAGCCCACAGAGCCCACAGGATTTGTCACCAGCCCAGAGAAAATTGTTCCAGTTCCTTCCTTAGATTTCTGCCGCTTTTAAAACAAAGGCATAATGCATGAGGGCTAAAGATGGAGTCTCAGCGGCACCTCTTTTCTGGTTATTGCTATTTCTAGCTTCCTTCTGCTGGGCCCACAGCTAACATTGCCATGTGTATGTGCTTCATCAGAAATGATCTTTGTTCTGGGTTTGGTCAGTTTGATAATTATAGCCCTTTAGGCAGGTCAGTGAAATGACGGGAAGGTAAATAGTTTCCAGTGACTTACTGAGTAAATTATCCCCCAATTTATCTATGAGAACATTGAGGCCAGATAATTTTATCAGTTGGTCTGAAGCAATGTTGCACTTGAGGGTCTAACTGTAATTCAGAAGGGAGTGTGACTCTGCTACTCAGGCAGCATGCTTTAACTAATCTCTTTTATCTCTCTACATAACACTGAAAGTCTGAACATAGGTAGGGTTGTGGTCAACTAAGAAGATTATATGCATTTTATTCATTTGTTCTGCCTGGTGACAAAATCATTCCAGAGGCTAGTTTTACCCATAAATTCCTCAGAAGCCCTAAATCTTACCTCTTCCTTTCTATACATTTCTTTCTTTTCTTTTTTCCCCCCAAATCCAACTTTCAACTCCTCTTTTTTTTTTTTAATGAGGAATGGCCAGCATATGTTCAGGAAATATTTAGTTCTGTTTCTAGTCCCCATTTGAACTCCCATTTGGTTTTTCTCTCTTCCTATCTCTACCCAGTTGATACTTGTTTGGGGCTCTCCAGCTCTCTTCAGGCTATTTAGTTTTTTTCCTAATATTTTAGTGTATTGGCTAATGACTTCAATATTAATTCCCTAGTTGATTGTTCATTTTGTGCCTAAAAATCACATGCCCTGTGGTGTACAAGCTAGTTCACTTTCTGCTGTGCTTTCTACTACCAATCAGTAGAACTTCTTGGGACTCTTCACTCAGAGCCTTGTGTGGATCAGATCAGGATACTATTCCCAGGCTCTAACTTGCACTTCACTAGGTTTTCAAGGATATTAATACTTAACCAGATTCAACAGCCATTTTTCTCTCATTTTCCTAACCTCTCAGTACAATGGACAGGATTGGTGCCAATTTGTCTCCAAAGAGCTTTTGTTCTTCAATGACACCATACCTTCCTGATTTTCTTCTCATCTCACTACTCTATGCCAGCTCCTCTTTTATTTAGTATCTGAAGGATGCAGTGTCCCGGAATTGGACTTTTCTTCCCTCATCTCCTCTCTCTTACTCTGTGATCCTGGAACTTGGATTTGGGATTTTAGAGTAGGAAGAATTCCACTGACATCAGGATCTAGATAGATCTGAGTAGGGATTTCTAAAGGGTAGAGTTGCATGTCATTAAGACTGAATGATTAAGAAACCAAGATAGTGATCTATGCATACCCATGATTATAGCTGCACAATTCACAACAGGCAAACTATGGAACCAGCCTATGTGTTCATCAACAGATGAATGGACAAAGAAAATGTGGTATATATACAAAGTGAAATTTGGCTTAACCATAAAGAAGAAAGAAATTATGCCATTTGTAAGAAAATGGATGGATCTTGAGAATATTATGTTAAGTAAACCAAACTCAGAAAAGCAAGAGTCATATGTTATCTCTCATATGTGAAATATAGAAAAAAAGAGAAGAGTTTGAGGGGAGACATCAGAAAAATAGAAGGGAGATTGGTAAAACAGAGTAAGGGGAATGGGATAGAAGGAAGAGTAAGGGAAGGAAAAGGACACAAATTTAACCAAATTATATTTTTATATTATGTGCATGTATAAATATGTGACAATGAATCCCACTACAATGTGTAAACTATAATGTATCAAAAAGGGAAAAGAACTAAAGAAAAAGAAAGAGAAACCAAGAGTAAAAGCTTTAGAGAAAGTGGGCTACAGAGAACTTATCATCATCCAAAAACATAACAGGTAGGAGGGGGGAGATCGCAGCTATGAGCCAGATTTCAGATCATTTGACAAATTTGGAGATGAGATTGGAGGCACATGGGAGAGCCTAATGGAGCCTGAAAGGATGGATGTCTTTGGGACCTGGGGAGTACAACAATCTCACCACCCAATCTCTGATAACTTCAGTCACTACTTAATTTTCTTGTGTAGTCTGTCCACAGTGATTAGCTGAATGTACATTTATATGACACTTGATTTTAATTCATCTTTCAGTAAATATGTCAATATATATGGCTTTGTGTGGTTCTCTGTCTTTGGCCATATTGTAAGCTCTAGACACCAGGAGAGAAGAAACTAGAGCATATACTCTTTTAGCATTGCTCACCCACACAACCTCCCACAACTAATAACTATCATCTAGCACAGATCTGGGCAAGAGGGGCTCAATATGCTTGTGAAAACAGTATTACCTTTTCTATCTGGTTTGTAAAGAATTTTTGTCTTAAGAAGTCCACTGTGCCTTCTTTTTCCATAAATTCTAGCCTGTTTGAACAGATGCAGTGCCACCAGGAACTCAGGTTAATAAAATGGGGACTGAGTGCTACAGGATGATGCTTCTCATTTTATTGTGAGTCTGGCCTTGAGAATCCTGGTTCTTGGACATTTTGTGCACAGAATAATCTGGGGAGGTACCTGTCTCTATGCTAAAAAAAAAAAAAAAGTGATGAGATCTCTTCCATTCTTCTCTGCAGAACAGTTTATGGAAAGAAGAAGAAGTTATCTTAGAGAACCCAAGCCTACGGTTCTTGATCCAGGACATGAGTCAAGTTTAATGAAGTAGATCAATCCAAAAAATAGCAGAAATAGCCTTTGCATTCCTTTTTCACTTTTACCAAGTTTTTACTTGTCAAATCATAATAGGTAATTTCTTTGGAATAGCCTCATTCATTGATTGAAAAACATGTACTGCATCCCCAATACCTGCCAGACTTTGTGCTGGTTGAAGAGACAACAGAGGCGAATAAAATATATGTCCTGCCTGTAAGTCTTTAAGCTCATAATTTCTGTGTGTGTCTGTGTGTGTGAGTGTGGGTGTATGTGTGTGTGTGTCTAAAGTCAGCCTGAAACACAGAAGCATATAATAGGATTGGAGAACACACAGGTATTGATGGGAGCACTAGTGACTGGCACCTATCCCAACCTGGAATGTACTAAAGGATTTCAGAAGGGATCATCCTGGGCTGAGCTTTAGTAGGCAGTCTGGGGTTCTAAACAGAACGTGTGCAAGGACCCGGTGAGAGAGCATAGAACAGCCTGGGAACTGCCTCAGCATGGCCTACTTTCTTATTACTCTCTACTTACATTTGAGTGTTCTGGACATGAACATTGTAAACTCAGCTTCCTAGTGACAATTTAGGAAGTTTCAAGATGGCTTTAGGCATGATTTCCCTGTGTAGATTAAGGATCAGGACTAGAAAAGCCCACTGAAAACATACTTTAGAAAAGGAATAGAATGGTTGAGGATTCTGTAATTCATCAGGATTCATATAGAAAAAAAAAAAAGTAAAGACTCTGCTCTTCTTTTTGCTTCTTCTAACCCAGTTAGAGAAGATGGAAAGTTAAATAGTACTTATATTAGTCAGGGTTCTCTAAGGAAACAGGCCAATAGGAGAAAAATATATAGAAGGAGATTTATTATGGGAATTGACTCACACAATTTTGAGGCAAAGAAGTCTCACAATATGCCATTTGCAAGCTGGAGAACCAGAAAAACTGGTGGTATCATGCAGACCAAATCTGAATTATACCATAATCCATGGAAGTGGATGCTGCATCTCCCAAAGCCTGAAAAAGAGGGTGACCTGGGTGCAAGTCCCAGAATTGAAAGGATTTCTGAAAACTGGAGGAGATAGATGCCCAGGTCAAGGAAAGACATAGAAAATTCACCTTTTCTCTGTCGTTTTGTTTGATCCAGACCCTCAATAGATTGGCTGATGTCTACCTAAGTTTCTTGGAGTAGATCTTCCTTTACTCAATTCAAATGCTAATCTCTTCCAGAAACACCCTCACATATACACCCAGAAATAACGTTTTACCAGGTATCTAGATAGCGCTTTATACAGTCAAGTTGACACATATAAATTAACCATCATAAGAGACTTGTTTTTTTTTTTCTGATAATTCACTCAGCCTGTGCATATTTGATGAATGCACAGAGCTAAAGCTACAGCAGCAGTCCTTACTAGACATTCTCAGTTACTGAAGGCCTTCTTTGTCTCAGGCATAATTCTATGCATGGCAGATATAAAACCAAGGTATGTTGTGAACCTTTTGAGCAGTAAGACTAATCTTTTCAACCCACAGACATGCTCACTCCAGGACTGCAAACTAGGAAGACCTTCACAGCTACTCGATCCAACAGTATCAGAACTGGGTATGCTTCTTTGACACTCTGAACTCTGAAGCTTCTTAAGTAAAGAACATAAGATCAAGCTCACCTAATAATTGTTGGTAGACCCAAGAAAATTAATGGAATAGTCCTAAATTCCCTGACATTTGTGCACTTCGGTAGCTGCCTATTATATTGTGTTCTTTATCATTGGGAAATGTGGATTTCAGCTTTATAAGTCTAAGTGACATGAACAAATCTTTCTACCCCCCATCTCCCATCCAGCACTTTTTTGTGCATTTTGAATTTATGGCTGCATTTCTATTAGTTCCCAACAGTATTCACTAGATTAAAGCTGCATCAGAAATTGGATTTTTTTTCTACTTTTGCCCCTGAAGAGTGTAATAAAAAAATAACTCAATAAATCTAGCAAATTAGCAATAAGATTTCAAACTTTGGGGCATATGTGCAAATATGCTGTTAGGGAAGAAATGTGAAACTATCGACAGCTGAACCAATCATATTACATATTACTATTATAAGCAGAAAGAGTAAAAGAAAATCCTTCCCTCTAAATTGAACCAAGTTTACCACAAGTTTAAAAAAAAGATGTCTCAGGGGTAGAGAATTTCATTGTTTTATTTCCTTTGTAGCTACCATAATTTTTTGTGAAATAGAACATTTTGAAAAGTCATTTCTTAACTTTTTTTTTTACTCTAAAGTGGGAACTTGGACAGATGAAAGTTAAAGCCAATTCTTCTCATAGACCCATTGGCTGTACTATTTGAACTCGAATTGAACAAATCACCTTATCTTACCTTGTGGTCCCTTGATTGTAATAAAAGATATATTAATTCCAAGTTCATGAGTGGGTCTTTTTTTTCTTTTTTTAATATTCATTTTTTAGTTGTAGTTGGATACAATACCTTTATATCACTTATATATTTTTATGTGGTGCTGAGGATCGAACGCAGGGTCTCGCACGTGCAAGGTGAGCGCTCTACTGCTGAGCCTCACCCCCAGCCCCTCATGAGTGGCTCTTAAAAAAAAAAAAGAACCTAACCAACGAAAAAATTAAGCAAAATCAAAATCCCAAAAACCAACTTAAATGAAAAGAGAACTGGAGAGCAGGAGGCCATAGGTGGTTTCTTGTTTGGGAGCTACAGCTAAGTAAGTTGTAAGTAATCAACCTCCTTGTCTTCATCAATCCTCTTTCCCTAAAGTACTTCTCTTCCTAGAGAGTGGCTTATAGTGACTATCTACACTGGCCTTTATCTATGTACAAATCAAAGTAAAGTGATCCAAATTAAACATGGTGCTCCCTAAATCTTCATACCAAAATATGCAGCCTGGGGTATGGGGGCTCAGCATGCCTGCCCCTGTGGCTTTGTTTGGAATCCCACCCTGCATTCACCATTCACTATGCATGTACCAAGTGTTCGTAGGCTTCAGAACATTGAGGCAGATCTTCCCCATTAGGAAGAAGCTTTTCAGTCACTCTATGATGCATCTATCCATCCATGATGCATCTCTTTACCTTATTTCCACTTATCTCAAGCCTCAATTCCATGAAAGCTCTATAACAGGACCTCTGTGAAATATTTCCTGAACTCACATTCTTTTCTTGTGATGACCACATCTAGTTTCTATTGCCCTTTTGTCATTTAATAGTTCCTTCTGTAAATTGTGACATAAATTGTATTATTAGTAGTAGTACTGGTAGCATTAGGCATATAACATTTCCCTGTGCATCTGTTTAATTTTTCCATGCTACCTTATCCTTGGGGACAAAGAAATTTTCAGCTCTGCTTTTTGGAATCCTTCACAAACTTAGATAGTACAATAGGTATATATTAGGCATTCAATGGCAATTTTTTTCAAAAAAGGAAAGAAAGAACTAAATATTTCCAAATGCTAATCAAATCTTCATTCCTATAAGTATGTCTCACGAAAGGCTATAGGCCCAATGAGACTTGTGATAGATGCCAGTGAAGTAAAGAAGAATGTCGTGGTAATACTGAATTTGTTTTGTGAACTAGAAAGGTGGTTTAATGGCCTTGTGTGATGCATTTTTATTATTTATGTTTAGTTGTATGTGTGTATGAAAGAAAGAGAGAGAGGGGGAGAAGAATAAAACAGACATACCAAAAATATAATCCAAAAAGCCTGGTTCATAGTTATTCAGTCATTCTGGTTACTGAGGTTTTTTAAACCCCCATAATTTTAGAATCATAATTTTTCCTCCCTTTCCCAGTCCTTCTTCTCCTCCTTTCCCAAGACCTACAACCTCTGAGCCAAATAATGCTACTTAGAATGATGAGCATGGAAGACTATCAGCTGTCAGCAAATTGACACTAGTTGGTGTAATGTAATATGGGAATTTGGCCCAGGATCCCAGCTTAGCTGGTAAGAGAGTTACAGGCATAGCTGTCCTTCATGATAAATGTTAGGAAAGATAATTTGGACCCCTTCCAAGTGGTATGCCCTGAACAAGGAATAAGGTTGACATAAATGAATTGGCAATTCACTTGTTAGTTGGTTAATCTTATCAATATCTACAGCAGAGCAAGATTACTGGACTGTTGATGGACTTCCAGGCCTAGGGTAGAATTTAGGTCAGGTAGAGGCACTGAAGAAACCATTTCCCCAACTCCTCTCCAGACTCCAGAATCTTAGAGGAAGAGAAAACAGAGCAGGAATAATGTTCCTTTGGCTGGAGGATCCCACAAGTTCTGTACCTTCTGGTGTGGGATGAGATGCTTTGTGTATGGTATAGGCAATGAGTAAAAAATAATATCAAATGGAAATGTAGGAGACAGTTTCAGAAAGGTAAGGGGTTGAGGATCAGTACTTATAGGCTCACAGGAACACATACACATTTCTTCATTTCTCACATTTTTCAAAAATCTGTATTCCTAACTCCCTGACACTCAAGTTTACAAGTACCACAAACTTAGAAACAAGTTTCTAAACACTCATGAAGATTTTGTGCTTCTGGGAAATTACAAAATGGTAAGATGTAGAATTCTCTGCAGAGCCAGGTGTCCAAAAAAGACAAGCCAACCATGTTTTTCAGAGACAAAAAAAAAAAAAAAAATTCCGTCTTAAAAGATACAAGTCCTTTCTGCTTCTGGGATTTGCCTTTAGGGCAAGGAGTCTCTTTGTGGTAGGCAGCAGAACTTTGCATATCCCATTTGATTACACAGGTTTTTGTTAAGCAAGCACTAACCATTTTTTCTTAGGGGCAGCAACATTTCTCTTTTTAGATCAGCGGATTCTTGTGCCAGTCTGAATTCTAAAGTGCAGTGAGCCCTAGGGATTTTTAACAATTGGTGAAAGATGGGAGTGATGTAAGCTGGTCCCTGTCATATGGTAACAGCAAAGAGCTCAGCAAGGAATCTGACCTCCAAAGACTCTGATGTCTGATTTTGAAATTGCATCTTTTTGCAATAGTTGGAGGATCTGGTCCATTGAGAACACATTAACTCTGGAGAAAGCAACACCCACCCTGGAGGACAAACCAGAGATGTGGGGGTGTCCACTGCAGAGCAGTGATCTGTTCTAGCCTGGAGCAGGTAAACCTCAAGAAATTCAGACTCATGTGAGCAGAGGTGCCAGGCAGAAGCCAGAGGCTGGCTGCCGCAATATGGGGGCATGAGGCAGGTTTGTAGAAGGTGTAAGTGTTCCATGGGTATCAACAAACTTTGGAGAAGAGAAATACAGTAAAATGACTGGATTTCTGCACTTAAATGGTGTGGGAGCTCCCTGGATATCTTGGCTATCCATGTAATCATGTCATTTTATGCCTCATGCTATGCAGGCATGGAATATGTAAGTTATATCCATAATCAGGGTAGCAACCCTAAGAGAAGGCTATTCCCCTTTCACCCAGATAACAATGTGATGTACACTCAAATAGGATTTTTAAAAGTTTAAAAGTATACAAAAGATGAGGTAGAGATGTTTCCCTAATTCACATATAGATAATGGTTTCACCAATACTTTGTTAAGAAGAGGGTGTTAGCACTAGAACACAGTGTATTATAATGTAATTTTGTTATACTAAGGCTTAAATTATTTAGTTAACTAGACATAACTTATCCCACAGTGCAAAATCTGTAGAAAAAAAACATAGTTGCTAACTCATGGTAGTTGTATTCAGCTGACAAATTTTTAAGATGCCTAGTAAATCAACATAAAAACTATCTAACCAGGGGTAGGAGCATGACTCAGTAGTAACGTTCCTGCCTAGTAGGTGTGAGACCCTGAGTTCAATCTCCAGTACCTCATAAGAAAAGAAAAACTCTAATCAAGGATTATCCCTATTATTCACATCTCACATATTTCTGAAAGAGTGTAAATCTTTCAGAAGAATGTATGACTACATTTTATTACATACTAATGACTTGGGGCCTCTATCACCACATTCACAAATCAAGTCCAAGCAGAGATATAGAAATCAGGCAGACCCAAGGCTGATAAGGTACCTATGCTACAAGCTTCTTGACCATCATTGGATACTTGCCTTTATATCACTTTTATTTTTTCACAGTGACATTGACTTCTAGAAGTAGGGCAAAATTTTGAACTATTTCCTGATTCTGAGAGCCTGACCGATGAAAGGATAAATGTCCTGAAGGCATCCTCAGGAAAGAAACTTAAAATAAAACCAAGAAAATTGCACAAGTCCAGAAAGTTAGCTCAAACCCATTTTTCTCTGGCCAACAGGAACATGGTATAGGATACGGAATCAACAGTCAAATATTGGGTCTGTCACTCCCTGTAAGGGTGTCAGCTTAGAAAAGCAACTTTGCTTCTCTGAGCCTCAACTTTGCCAAATTAAAAATGAAAATTTTTTATGATAACTTGCACATGGATTTACTAAAGTAAGTCATTTATTTGAAAAGCACTGAGTAAATTACCTTTACTATTCAGAAAAAAAAAATCATCTAAAAGAGACCTGATTTAGAAAGTCAAAAGTGAACATGAAAATTAACCCTTCTGCCCTTACAGGTATGGACAAGATAAGACTGGAGAAATATTTTGTAGAAAAGAAGGACACTGAGTCCCACTGAGTGACATGCAAAATATCAGTCTAAATAAAACACCTCTATGTAAATACCCCACACCCCAGCTAAGTATAGTGCAAGAAGAGTCACTCAGTTGTGTCATATACAGCCATTACCACACACAATATTTCTCAAGTGTTTGGGGGTCTACCCTGAACCATGTCTTGCAGCCTGTCAAGGGTCGGAAACACTGGATAGTTGAAGAATTAAGCTCTTGGGAAATCTATTCAACCAGATGTAAGTTTGAAAAGAAGGAGAGAAGAAAAAAATCTTATATAAAAACTCTTTATAGGCAACAGAGGGCATGAGCTGTGGAGGTGAGATATTTTATTTTGCTGTACACTGTCTGTAAAGCAATCTCTTCTCTTAGAAAATGATGTTTCTATTGGACTTGGAGCTATTTGTCATTCTGGGCCTCAAACAAAATATTTTTCATAAGAACATTGGAAATGCCATGCCGGATCAAACCAATGGCTCCTCTAGTCCCATATTTTGCCTTTGAAAGTGGTACCAAGGGAGGGTTCACAAGAGGACACAGATGCTCTATTTAAGTGGCTTTCAAACGTTTTGACTGTGGCTCAGTTAGAAATACAGTTTTCATTGTAACCCAGTACTCATATTCACACACATGCACAAAAACACACCCATGCATTCTTATACATTTAAACTAACACTTCCTATTTTTTTTTCTTTCTTTTTTTTAAAAAATTTTAACTACTAGCACCAATCCACTAAACAGATTTTACAATCGATTAGTAGGATCACAACTCTGGGCTTGAAAAACAGTGTTC